CCCCCCAACCCCCTCCCCCCCCTTTATAATCTCCTTACTGAATTTGTTCTTGCAAAGCTGCTCAAACAGAAAGGGGTTTATTCACAGTGGTTACAGGGGTTAAAGTAACATGAAAATGATATGTTCTCAGGTTCCCGAAAGGTCCATTTTCTCAAAGGTTGATGTGCTATCCACATGGTTATTGTTCTCCAAAGCAACATACAGGTACAATGCTTGCCATCCTCCTCGAATTCATGCCTTGGATGGAACATGGGGTAAACCTGGCTACAAACCTTGAACCGCAGCCAGGTAAGCCAAGACTGAGTATAACATTCTGACATTTCCATATAGTGTAGATTATACAAGGGAACCTTTTGAGGCAGTGTATCATAAAAACTTCACCATACCCACTCTCTCAGCACAGCCTCTGGTTTAATCACCTACAATGCTCTAGATAATTTACCCTGCAGCCCACAGTATTTGCATAAAAGCAGTTTCATTTTGCATTTTGACATGTTCCTTCGCAGGTTCACACAAGACTCTCACTATAGAAGAAAATTCCCACATCTGAACCATTGTACTAACTGACTAAATATTTCAGTCTGGCTCTCACAGCTTTGCTTTCACCGCTGCTTGTACTGTAAAGATCAAATAAGTCAGAGGAATATTGTCATTCTTCTTGGGCTTGCACACCGTCTCATGAGATCATTACCAGTAAGCTTCTAATATTAACTGTTCAGTGTTTCTCCGCACTCGTCTCCATCTGACTATTACTAATGAGAACTGTAAACAGTCACAATGTAGTTCATAGGTCACTTTTCTTACTAGATAAATAGAAGCATCTGACTCAAAAATCAATGTATTATGCGCATGGATCAGGTGACCCTGAGCCCTCCCTTAGTTATGCTGCTATAGGCCTAGGCTGCTGGGGGGCCCCATGATGCTCTGAGTTTCTTTCCCCTCCCCTCCTGCTCTCCTCTCCTCTCCTCCCCTCCCCTCTCTCTCCCTATGCTTCTATATGCCACCATTACACATCACTAACTGTGTGTCTCCTCTCTCCTGTAGTGTGTCCTCTCTCTCTCCCTGTACCTTTCTGCAGGTTGCCCTGGGCCTGGAGCTCTATGTCTCTGACGAGCAGTCACCAGCCACATCGACCTGATCAGTGTTTGATTGTTGTGTCTTGTTGCTTTTCTTCTTTTGTCTCTCCTCTATCCACTCGCCCCAACCCGTCGAGGCCGGGGTCTGTCAGAGGTTTCTTCTGTTAAAGGGGCTTTTTCCTCCCCACTGTCGCCAAGTGCTTGCTCAAGGGGGATTTGTTGGGTTTTCCCTTTGTAACAATAGTGATAACAGTAAGGTCTAGACCTTACTTTGTAAAGTGTCCTGAGATGACTTTTGTTGTGATTTGGAGCTATACAAATAAAATTTGATTTGATTTGATGTATTTGCATCATACAGGATGTAAATGTATCTCATCTTTCTCACTTTTCATACTTTGTCATCTTTCCTGTCAAAGTGAATTGTCTTTTGCCAACATGCTTTAATCTAAAACACATTCCAAGTGTGTAAATTATCCGCTCAGTGGCCCTGAGGTTCTACTACAATCTGTCCTACCCATGAAGTTACACACAGCTTGGCGGTATACAGTATGGTCTGATAAAGTTAAAATACAGTAGCAGTAGGAATTGAAACCTGGCATAAAATATGGCAGGTTCATAGCTGAAGGAAACCTCCTTTATTCAAGCGTGGATCAAGACAGCAAGTTTCCAGTTTAGAAAAGTATTATGCAAATACTAACTAGGCATTTAGAAGGGAGGCACCGCTTTCTTGACTTCATATGTTTCCCCTGAAAGTGAACATTACCTGCTACGTAGTCGAATATCTACATTACTGTCATCATGAAAATTAGTTTCTGGGTTTATAGTTTCATGTGATGTTACAGGTGATGTCCTGTATTTAGGTGTTGATAGAAAATGACAGAGGACAAGAGAAGTCAGTCAGTAAGGGTTTTCTCATTTAGATATCTTTTACATTTTTTAATAAATTGACTGTTCCTCCAAAATAAACAAATACATATATATAAAACAGCACATAGTTTAATAAGACAGCATGGAGTATGAATTCAACCTAGTGGCTAGGATGCATGCACATTCTTGATAATGAATTTCATACTTTCATAACTGCTTGTTGCCTATGTGTCCATGTTAGAGGAGGGTGAGTTAAACTTATAATGAAAATAAATTGTTACACAATACAGTGATTATATAATGCCACTGACCTAATTCTTTCTGATTGAACAGAGATAAATTAAGCTTCACTTTGCAGAGGACTCCCCAGAGCTCCCAGAAGGACCCCTGGAAGTCCCCACACTGCAGACTGGGAAACACAGCACCGCTGCTCCAGCGTTTAAAAGCCTGGGGTACAGGGCAGATTAAGGATGAATGACGACCCCTATTTCAATATTTACTATACACTCCTGAAAAGGTGACGTTACTATGACTCTGAATGCAACTTTTTTTTTTTTTTTTTTAAACCTTGGGGTGTCTGCTGGTGAACTCAGAGAGTTGGGCGACAACATGGTTAGAATGGAGAAGTTGTCAAAACATGATAGATGAGTGTGTGCGTGTGCGTGTTTACCATGTGTACCGGTGACAGCACAAACAGTCAGTGGGAAACGCGTTATGTGGCATCGGCGCAGGCAGACTAAAATAGTGTTTGGTGTGACAAAGTGTGCCCAACAGTGAGAGAGAATGATTTTCCCCCTTTTTTCTACACTAGCTTCCTTCCTATGGTAAATTGTAGGCCAGAGGTGGCGGAAATACGTCAGTTATGTGGGTTCTCTGAGGCTTGACTGTGTCTCTTAATTTTCGGATGAAGGGAATGAGAGCGGGAGAGGAGATTTTAATCACTCCTGTCGCTTTAAGGACACTTATTAAAGCCTTATTATGCGAATAGAAAATACCACGAGCTGCTGAGCAACTGAGCAGCCAGGGGACGGATTGGAGTGGATTTACAGGAAACTCAACACGATCTAAACTGGAACAGACCGCTTCGTTGCCTTATGGAGTTTGATTACACACTGGATGGTTGTCTTATTCGGACGCTTCGGATCATTTAGGAAATACTGCGCATAAGTAGCTCTCTGACCTGGGATCCTTTGCCACTGAAGCGCAGAGGGGAATATGGTTTAAAACTCAACGCGGACGGGATTATTCACTCATCTGACAGCCACAATCGATACGTACTTGTTCGCCAGGCGTTTTGTTTCGGACGGATAGTATCTGGAGCTCTTTATTTGACAGCCTTGAATCATGGATTGGGGTGGTGGAAAACAACAACGGGCAGCGACATGATTTCTCTGCGCTGTCTGCGGTATGCAGCGAGCTTAGGCTTTTACATTGCTTCTTACTGTGCCGATACGACAAAAGTTACAAAGCGAGTGTAATGCGTGGATTTTAACAGTTTCACCGTTTTGCACCTGCTTTCACGGATACCGTCGACATAGTGCAAATTCGTGACAAAATAACGTGTGGATCCGTGCCATTCTGCTTTCTCCCTATCGCCCGTGTGGGATACTTGAACATTGCTTATCGGTGGAGGTTTATACTCAAGGTCATTGAGTATTATGAGGCTGTATTTGCCTTGTTATTTACACACATACAGCGCTATCTTCACGTTATAGCGCAGCCTACAATTGTCAGTCCAGTGTGTGTTAGGCTATTTGTCATTACACGGTGCGTTTAGGCGAGCACCCGCTGTGGAGTTATATTTGTATTTCTTTTTGACATTGCAAGCTTTCTCTAACAACATGGATGGGAAATTGAAGCAGGGTCGGAGATGCCGGTCCAAGCGGGAGAGGGTGCGGAGGTTGCGTGAGGCAGGGAGCAGAGACGCCCGCAGCCCCGACCCCAACTCCTCCTGCTCCGACAGGGAGGGACACAGTCCGGAGAGGGACGCCGCCTCCCTGCCCGGTAAAAAGGCGCCGCACCCCGCAGCCGCCGCCAGAGCTCCGCGTCCCCCCCGGCGGAAGAGACGGGAGTCCAGCTCGCAGGAGGAGGATATTATTGATGGATTTGCTATCGCCAGTTTCAACAGCCTGGATCGTCTGGAGGTAAGGAGGAACCGGATCGTTACCTATTGATGTCTGTGTGTGTGTGTGTGTGTGTGTGCGCGGGCGCGCGCACTGCATGCTTCATCAGTGGAGTGGCTGTCAAAGTGGGGGATCCTCGAGGCCCCCAGTCACTTGTAAGCAACGTGAGGACTAGTTTAATTTAGCTATAGAATCTATTGAGATGATGCCAATTAGAGTCTGGATAGGGATCATTCTTCTTATCATGTTGTTGTAGACCAGGGGTGCTCAGACACTCAGGGACCCCTCAAGGGGTCTCTGATCGGTCCTTGGTTTGGCTCTCCTCACATAGGGCTGTTGACAGCTGTGCAGCATGTTGTCTTTTAGGGGAACCAGCTCTGTGTCTACTAATGTGTGTTTATTTTGAAGTCACTGACATGAAAGTGTTTGGACAAGAACTGCAACACATAAGTTCAAAGCTTTGCTAATAAGATGTTAATTGTTGCTAGGATATGGTTTGGTGATGCTGCTGTGTCAGCAAACACTCAGGCTTGTATTTTATATTCTGATTCACTCTGAGTTGTCAGTGTGCACTGGACATTTTGCTCTTTGATAAACTGCCTTTTGCAGCATTCATATGTTACAGGCTGATAGACCACGTGCTGAGAACTTTGTTTCTGTCATTACTGTGTGGTTTGTGTGATGACAGAGGCATGATTTCTGGAAGAAAGGAGGTTCTCTTGTGACATCCTCATATCTATTTTATCTCATTACTTTCAAAATGACAAATCAAACATTGTTCCCTGCGGTACTTTAAACAGACTGACAAGGCAGGAGGGCCTGGGTTTTCCATTGCTCATTCTGGGAGTGGTAGCACTAGTTGACATATAAATCAGTGGCTTTAATAAACATATTACATGTTCACTGAGGTCTGTATAGTTTAAGATGATGAGCTTATTCGAAAGCCCATGAATCATACCACAGGCCACCTCATTTCAATGACAGCCTTCCATTTACAGTAACCCTAGTGATGGTTTCAATCAGTCGTGACTGAATCTGTCACCCATAGTGCTTCATCATTATAATGGTTGATTGCAGATTTGTGGCATGAAACATAAACCAATTGTACGCTCTCATACATAAAATGGAAGATTCATTCACTTGGAGCTGATCATCAATTTGCCACCTCCCATCTGTTAATAAGTTTAACCTGTCCGGGTCATCAGTAATTATATTACTGTTCCATTTAGCTCGGCCCTTCATGGTGCTTAAAGTGGGTGTGGAAGCAGATAAGGGAGGAATAAGGTGACAGCTGTTAGTGGGAGGTGAATGTGCATGGATCCCAAGCACGAAGAACTATTGCAATGTTGTAAAATAAGAAAGATAACAGACACTTCACATCACTGGAAAATAACTATGTAGCTCCTATGGATTAAAAACATGACACTCTTCTATAATCCTACGATTATACAGTTAGTGCAGTAGTGCGTCCTCAGGATAAACTCGTTACATGTTATCGGATGTGCTTAACATATTTATGTGTGTGCCCTTTCTTGTTCATTTGCATGAGTGCATCTTGCTGTGATGTGTGTGTGTGTGTGTGTGTGAGTATTTTGTGCTGTGTGGCTGCCACTTCTGACAGCTGCTGACTGGGAAAGACTGAAGATGTCATAGCAGCAAAGTCCTTCTTACTGGCATCTTCTGCCTCGACTGCTGTCAACACAGTGACCTGCTCTGTTGACTTGTGGAAACAGCCTCCTCTGTGTGTTTGGTGCTAACAGGGCCAATATTAGTTGAGAAGTTTCACAACTCTTATTGTTCTGTTTGTTGTTGCAGTATGGGTTTCTCTTTGGATGTTTCACCATATTAAAAATGCTGCCTCTTTGTGTTTGAGAGGGAAATTCAAAAGTTTTATTTTAAACATTCCCAAGCAGTAATGTTTTCCTTACTTAAGTGCTAAATCAATGTTGAATGGACATAGAGGGAACAGTCTGCTCTACATAGAAGCTTATGTTTCAAGGCTAAGCAAATGAGGCATGATACATCTCTATGTGAAATGATACTCACATGCTAGCTACTTGTTGGTAATTGGTTTGACTTGCATGCAAATAGCTTGTGCTTATTAAATGACATTGGTGGATCTGAGTGTACAGGCATTTTGGGCTTTGCCCCTTGAATGAAATGAACATGTTGACTTTGTTTTCATATACTTTTACTGTTAGTGACAGCAATAATCACATTTGTTTTCAGCGAATAAGCTGCATCACTGTTAATGACATACAGTCTTTGGATGTCTCCTGACCGATGGTGACTCATGCTTTCACCTGCTTACTGTATGCTTGAGTGGAGCTCTGGACCTATGCTACCTGTGCTAATTGCTCATCAGTTATGAGAAGGACACAGCAGCATTTGGCCAGGGAATAGCTCTGACCTATTCCATCATGGTCCAGTAAGCTCACACACCCGTGCCAGAGGGAGTGTGTGGTCCTCTCGACCTCTGTGAAGTGACTGATGGCAGGCACGGCTGTGTTTATGTCAGGCTATACAGTCAGGCTACTGTCTCATTAGTAATCTTCCGACATCAGTATCCCATCCTCCCTGGGTTCAGTGAGTCCACATGACCACCATACTAATATTTAGTCTCTATCCCTGTCACCTTTGGGTTACTGTCACAGTCATTTGACTGTCCTATTTTACTCTGTAACTTGTGCACAGCTGCTACAGTTCGTTCATAAGAGCTGGGGGTTATGGCTTTCTCCCAGAGCAAGTTGACTGTAAACACACTCGACTGGTTGCTGCTGTTGATATTCCAGCTCTGCGCTGATAGGATCAAGCTCCCCTGATGAAGGCTTAGGCTATACCGCGGTCTCCCTGCTCCCGTAACCTGTTTCATTATGGCCGAAAGCAATTTGCAGCCTCGGCCGCATTTGATTACAGCGTGTTTATTTGCTTTGAATCCCCTCATTTCTCAGAGGAAAGCCGCTTACTTACCTGTGCAAATCGACTGTACAAACACAGCCGTCTTGCTTTGCCACAGGCACTTTATTGAGATTAGCAAAATGTTGGGCATGATTCAGTGATGACTCAAGCATGGTCAGTTTGTTATTGTGGGCTTTTGTTGGAGAAAATGAAAACCTGGGGTATCTAGTTTAATTGCTTTTCATATTTTTTTTTATATTAGATCGAAGGATTAAATTATTTTGCATGAGTTTAGAAAATGTGACAAGTGCTGCTTTTCTTGTAGAGATTCCACTTCAAAACTAATTGTATATTAGAATGATTGACATTTGGCAATCCTTTCAATTGCTGAAAGGCTGATTTCCTGGAGATAAAAGCATTTCACCTGACAGCAGTGCTATAAAACAATTACCTGCTTATGCCTTAACCCCGCCAGAAATCTCCCTGTGGGTATCGAACAAGTGAGCAGATAATAAAATGACACAATTATCCATCTGTCAGCGTATTAATAAGATGTTTGATTTGCTCCAATTGCTGTGTGACTGACGTCAGAGTGGCAAATCCCCGCTTGTTAATCCACAATCATCCTGTTTATCTGTTTTAACATGAATTTACAGATTTGTTTGGGTTTTTCGTTCCGCAGCATGAGTTTCTAAATTCATTCTAATGGGGATTTAGGTTTAGCTGAAATAGTGATATTACAACAGTGCTGAGAGTGCTTGGTGAGATCTGGTATCTTTCTCTTTATTTATCCAGGGAAGTTTTGCTAAACACACTTGCTCTTTTTCTGCACGGCCGTGCTTTCTACAGTTTTACACACTAACCATCATCTGCCGTTGGCCACTGAGCAGCTCTACCAAAGCAGCATGGGGAAATTAAGTTTCTTGCCCAAGGGGGGTGGGTTGATAGCAGTTACTGCTTCAATTTCTCTTCCCATATTTTCCCAGCTGGTGCATGGATGTAAGCCAACATTCCAGTTACAAGTATGTGTCTTTGTATTTCATCAAGTGCTGTGATGAAAGGCCTCAAACCGCACACCTGTTAGAAGGAATTAACAAACAGACTACAGTCCACCCTCAGCACATAGGCGGAGATGTGGTAACACTAAGCTTGAGTTGAAGCTAATGCCTTCTTGAGATTAATGGCCTACATAAGATCCAAGGTAGTGTGTAAATCCCATCTTTTCCCACTTTTTCATTGTTGTCAGCTGCGTGCTCCTGCTCTGCAAGTACACTATCTGATTTCTAGTTGAGTAACACAGTGCAAACTGATACCGTCACCTAAAGCCACTGCAGTCATTGCTGTAGTAAGACTTCTTGCTTCTGTGGTGAGCCAGCAGGTCTGTTGCAAGGGTTGTGGCAGCCCTGCTTCGTGTTTTCTCTTTCCCCCAGTGGTGATAATGCTGTGCATCATATGCCGGCTCTGACAAACAGCTCTGGCTTTAATTAACAAGGCAGCCTCCTGAGGCCGCGCTGCTCGTTGCCTGACGCATCCCATGGGGAGAGCTTTCTTAATGCCGGTGCTGCGTCCCCCAGCCCCGGCTCTCTCTAACTGTCACACACTGGAGGCAACAACATGGCTGATGAATGCACAGTCACATTCACAAGCCTTCTTTCTCTCTAGCACACAAACACAGGATTAAACCTCCACTGTGCATTTGTCCCAGCCATCGACCACTGACCTAAATATATCCATCCAAGGAAGGTTCCGGTTTGCCGTGGACATGTGTTGATGTAGATCTGGAAGCAGGTCAATCACTTGCTCACCCCTCGCTGTTACTACAGAACTACATTTGTCTTCAGGTTTGGAGGATTTATGTGACAATAAAGGCAGCAGGAGGAAATGCTCTGGTGTACAGGTTTACAGATTTTCAACAAATCAATTATTAAATCAAATCAAACACTAAAAAGAAGTCTGAGGGCAGTTTAGAAGTAACACATTAAGTTAGGGATTACCTTTTATTATTACTTTTCTTGATTAATCAATCAGTTGTTTGGTCAATAAACATTTGATAAAAGATACTGACTCTGCCATTTAGATAAAGGTATTGGGATAAAGTTCTATAAATAACAGGGGGTTTGACA